GATTAAGCTCCTTATACTAAATGCTAAGCCCAGACCATGATAAACCCCACCAAAGGAGTCTGGAGTTAGGTCTGGATTTAGTATAGTCTTAATCTATTGAGTAAAGGTGTGTTGAGATGAATAATATAGTCTTAATCTATGAGATTTGGGAAGGAATGGGATGTTGGTAAAATGGAGAAAGGTGGGGAGAGGAGGAAGTCAATATTTGAAGACTGTTTGAAGCAGAGTTGATTGGATGAGGATTATAGGGGTGGTTTTTTTTTTTTTTTGTAATGTATGTAAGGAAATTTTTACCTGTATGGGGGGTGGAGGGTTGTTTTTTATGCGTGTGGCCTGGTTAGCCAAATAGTAGGATGGGACCATAGTTGTTTGGTTCCCTTTGGTGATTTCTCATGACCACCTATTTGACTCTTTACCTCTCTTTTTAATGATTTTTTTTTTACTTTACTATAAAAAAATATTGCATTATATGGATTTTTTTTTCCAAAATCAATACCCTGCATTTTGTTACTCTTCTATAGCCAGATTAGAAACACTACAGAAGAACAATAGTTTTTCCAAAATTAAATCACTTCAGAAAATTCCTTTTTGTTAGTTTTATTTAAATTTTACAGATGTTCATAAGAAATACTACAAGTTAGAAGTATATTTCCAGAGTTAAACCATTGAATGATGAATTTGCAATTCTGGCACAATATTTTCCGCCCTGCAGGCTTGCAGCAGCCGTTCCCATGATACAAAATATTGGAATGTTGAATGCCCAAACAAAGATTGCCATTTCATTTTATGTTGGATCACAAGGCCTAACAGAATTTTACTTGCTCATGTTTTCACATTACAGTAGATTTATGTCAACATATGTGGATGTAGATACATTAAAAGAAACAATACAAACCTCCACAAGCTAATCAACCGAAATTCCTCGCATACTTTGGGTGATATCTCGCTGTAGTGTTTCTATAAAATCAGAACAAGGACTTCGGATGAGCTGAGTAAAAGAGAAGCTTTACCATTAGCACCAAGTGTGTTATTAATGCAAAAATGAAAAGAAACAACATAAAGTAAAAATATATGCACATTCTTTGCAGTAGTAAATAAAGAGTAGAAGGCACAGAAGATTTGACCTTAAAACCAATAACTTGAATTTATTATTGCAAGAAACACAAACCCTGGCTTTCGAGTCTTAAGTTAGAAAGGGAAACTTCTAAGTAGCAGATTCCATATAGATCCTGGACAACTAAAAATAGGCCATTTTGCAAGTTTTGAATCACAAGGTGTCCTGTGAAATTTTGATCAGAAAAAACAGTAATAAATTCAAAAACATGCTATACAGTACTGCTGGATTGCAGTTTGGAGGTCGTTGTCAAGGCGTCTAAACCAAAAAATTGGGATAGTTGGTTGGTTTCAAGGGCTTCTGAATACTAAACAACAAAAATCCATCGGTTCACTAGGGAGACTAAGCAATTCACATGGGATCGGAACCACTCACTAGAACCACCATGCCCACCCATACCTCGGCCGACACAAGTAAGGAGGATCACATGAAGAGCCAACGCGTAAGATCTTCATTCTCTCGACCAGACCACAATAGCCAACGCATGAAGAGCCCCCTTCTCCAGCAACCGGTGAACAAAAAATACAGTAGCAGACGGAAGCCCAAAAACCCTCTCCGCAACTTCCTAGCAGCAAACGGAACCCCAAAAGCCATCTCCGCATTCCGCAACACCCAACCCTAGAAAACCCTCTCGCGCAACAACCTAGCAGCAGATGGAAGCCCTAGAACCCTCTCTGCAACACCCAACCCTCAAAAACCCAGCAACAGACGGAAGCACAAGAACGACAGGGAGAGACAAAGTGAGAGTGGAAAGAGAGACAAAAGCGAGGAAAACGATGAAACGGGAAAAAAAGGCAGAGAAGAGAGGAGAGTGGGAAGAGAAAGTGGTTCAAAGACAAATGGAGGAGGGGAAAGATAGAGAAGGAGAAAGAGACGGTGAGACGTGGAAGTGGTTTGATAGAATAGAGATACTTTGACAAGTATCGTATCATGCAATGAAGAAGCACGCCATGTGTCAACCAGGAAGAAACAGAAGAAGGGAAATCTCACGCAGGTTTCGAATTCGAGCTACAGTGCTTGCTTCATTCAACCAGGAAGAAACAGAAGAAGGGAATCGATGGATTACTCTCACGCGGGTTTCGAATTCGAGCTACAGTGCTTCATACGTTTTGGATTGCTGTCACGTGAGACGCGAATTCTACTCGCATGAGTAGATTCCGTTTCTGCAACGAGAAACCACCCATATCCTTTTAATATATGTATATATAAGATAAGATATGTATGTATACGGAACGGAAGATATTTCCATTTCCATTTCCATTTCCCAATGTGAAAGGGGATGCTACGTGCGTATTTTGTTTGGAGGATACCCAGCTTCAAATAAACACGTGTCATCTATGGATTGGTTTTAGTTAGGATGAGAACATTTGGCGGGGTTTTAAGTACAAGATGGATGGATACTCAGTAGATAGATAATGGGAAGGTAATCTTTCATTTTTTTTTCTAATTTTAGTTCTCTTTCTCCTCCCCTGTGAGCTGTGACCGGAAGATAAGATTGAAACAGAAGAAGGGAAAATCCTAATCAACTGAGCCAGCGGTTTGTCACTAATCCAAAAACCCTACCTTCCAAGGTTGAAAAAAATTAAGTCGTGTGCAGAAGTCTCCATGAAAACAAGGTTTTCAGGGTGGTAGAGCTCGTTACAGACAGCAGAGATGAATTTCCCTGCGACCTTTCACGATAATTTCTCCTCCATTTTGCAGTGCACATCTTGCTATGAGTTTCGTTTCCATCCAGTTGTGGCTTCTTCAATTCTTTTGAGACGAAAATGTTTTCGTGGCGACAAGTTGCAAGCAAATCCTGTATCGAGGTTTCACATCTTTTTCTTTTCTTCTTCTGCATATTTTCAAAGTTCAATCTCATAGCTGCTTGAATTCAGATCTTAAACAATTTTTTTGTCCTTTTTCTTAGGCTGGTCTTTCAGAGGACAAGGAGAACGATCATTTGCCGTTTGTCGGAAACGGAGACTGAACCGGACAGTAATAATGATAAGGTACTTCGTTAGTTTCTCTCTTGAAGCCAGTTTATATAACTATAAGTAATGTTAAAATTTTCAACCTTTTCTTTGATTTGCACTATTATATGGAATTCAGATTTTTCAAGTCAGCATTTGGGCAATTGTTCTGTGAATCATTGGAGCTCATGAATACAGTTAGAAATTGCGGTTAATATTCATTAGGAATTGAACCTTAGTTTTTCATTCAGTAATATTTGCTTTTAATTTGAGAGTCTCTTTACCTTCTTCAGGAAAAACAAATACTTGAAAGTGGAGAAATGCCATCTTCCGCGAATCCAATTATGCAAACCAACCAAGAGATTGACTCTCAACCTGCTGTCTCTGATCCAGTAACTCCTCAAGTATCTCATTCAGTCTCTACTGAGCTATGATTGAAAAATTTTAAGCACTTAGTTCATGGATTTCTGTTTTCTATCACGCTTTTCTAGGATGAGAACCAAGCATCCGTGGTTGAAATGCTTGATTCAGATGACAAAGTAAAAAACAGTAATGGAGAACTCAAAGCTGAAGGTGATACCAAGGTGATTTTCTTCTTATCAGTTCCAATGTCTTAGCTTTTTACTTGAAAAAAATATTACCCAAAAATGTACTACAGCTACACGTTACTGGAATTTTTCATTCTTTTTTTTTCGTATTGGGGTGGAAGACTTTATTTTAGGACTATAAAGACTTTATTTTAGGAGATAGGTAGGCATCTAATTTTGAATTGATGTTAACTAAAGAAACTTCATTATGGTGAATTTATTTGATTATTCCCACCTGGAATTATTAAATAAAGGTATTATTTTGTAATAACACCCTAAATAAGATATTCATGCAAGTTAAATACAAATGGTTGATTTTGATTGTTATTATATAATGCCTAAACTTACCTTTAGTAAGTGGTCTCACATCGGTGCAGCAACCAATTACTTTTGCAAGGTCTATAAAACCCATATGATGTTTTCCCTTTTTGACATGTGCAATGCATGCACTTCTCCACTATATTTGGTTACTAGAAAACATTTTTGTTCTTAATTCAATACCCTTAATAAAGGTATTCTGCAATGGTTAAATAATCTAAAATGGCATTTATTTTTTATCAGAGAAGGCTGTATTGGAGACATTTTTAATTTGAGATAATTTAATTTATAGATACAATGGTAAGATTATTAACTTTTTCTTCACAGGCAAGTGATAATGTAGAAGTTGCAAGTGGATCTCCTCTACCAGGTGTGAAGGTGATTATTAGTAAAGCTGTTATGTTTTTTGGTTTAGAAAGTTTCTATAAGGAGAAGTGCAGTTTCATTTTTTTCTTTTTATTTTTTTTATTTACTGTATATCTGAAATGACTACTTTTTGTCCTCCCAAAAAAATATTGTAAACAAGCACAGCAACTGGGTGAAGCAATCAGGATCCCAAAGGAAACAATTGACATCCTTAAAGATCAAGTATTTGGTTTTGACACTTTTTTTGTGACAAGTCAAGATCCTTATGAGGTGAGATCATGCTGTGACCTTTCCTTTTCTTTCTTCATGTTTGTCTGGTTTACAACATGAGTTTTAAATAAAGGGGACCAATAATCAATAAAGATTTTTGAATGGGTTAGTAAGCCCTAATTGACAAAGCAAGGTTTAACATACATTGTTTCCTTTAACATTGTCTATTGTTTTTTCTAGTTCTTCCTAGCATCATTATGCCATTAAGGTCTTAATGAGAGAAATAGAAAAAAAAAAAAAAAGGAAAAACAGTAACATAGGCAGGTTTTATGGGGTTTGATGTTCTTCTAGATGTCATTATGATATGATGTGGTCTCCTATGTGATGTCTAGGGTGGAGTGTTGTTCAAAGGGAATTTACGTGGGAAGGCTGCTAAAAGTTATGAAAAGATAACAAAGAGGATGCAAGTAAGTATGCTTTTGGTTCTTTCATTGAAATATTTGAGAAGATCAATTATTTAAGCATAGATTTGTTTAAATTCTAGAACACCCTATTTACAGGATAAATTTGGTGATCAATATAAGCTTTTCCTTCTCATCAATCCAGAAGATGATAAACCTGTGGCAGTAGTGGTTCCAAGAAAGTCTTTGCAGCCAGAGACAACTGGTAATCCCCCTCCCTTCCAGAGAGAGAGAGAGAGAGAGAGTAAAAGGTGGTGTTATCTCCCTGAACTCTCTCTCCAATAGCACAGGGTAAGGACGGTTGTTGTTGGAACCATGAATTTGGTTTTCCTTGTGCAGCGGTGCCAGAATGGTTTGGAGCAGGTGCATTTGGATTGGTTACCATTTTTACCTTGCTTCTCCGAAATGTACCTGCACTACAGTCAAACTTGCTGTATGAAATTCTTCTTTCCTTTTCAGTTTATAGTTGAAGAAAAAGTAAAAACTATTACTTATCATCTCCCTTAAGATACTGCAAACATTTTTATTAGTTTATTTACTTTGAATTTCAAATCTTGTTATTACATGTTTCTGTAAATGACTTGAGATAATTATTTTTCTTTTTAGATTACTTGCTGGATAAATTAATGGTAGCTGTAAACTTGTAGTATGGGTTACAGGTATCCCATGTTGTGAATCCACCTTATCAATAGCTAATATCTACTATTATATTTTGAGTCCCTTGCCATCTTCTCACTACCTCAAGCAATGTCCTTTCAGCCTCCCCCTAGCTCTTCTTGAATCCTTAAAGATAACTCCATATTGCTACTATCAGTGGTATTCTATGTGCATTCTAGAACCATCTTAATCAAATTTCTAGTTTCTATCATCTTGTAACCTATAGAGCTTATTGTTGAGTTCCCATTGTTGGGATTCCCATCTAGGTTTATATGGAGAAAGTCCAACATTGGAAAGAAATGAGAGAAGCAAGGGGCTTATATTATGAGGATTGCTTTACAATCTAATGGCTTAAACGTTTGGGTTAAAGGTCGTGTCCAACTCTTGTGTGTAAGTCCTACATGTGAGGCAAGTTCTCTAGTGTTTGCAATTCCCTTTGATGCACAATAATGGTATCAAAGCTAAAGGTTTGGCTGGGGCAAATATTGATAGACGCACATGATGGTTCCCATTGCTTGCAGGCTTCCTATGGTTGAGTAGGTTACCAAGAGTGATTGATCTCCCATGATGATTCCACCCATGGAAATGTGCTCCCATAGTTGAGCAATTGGTGATTCACATGGCTTGACCCACCCATAGATGTCTCTGTTTGGTTGCTGACTTGTTGGAGGTTGAGTGAGGGCTCCTACAAAGGGCTTTTGTTTGGTGCATGTCAAACTTGGTGATATGATAACAACCATGGTTGTCAAGAGCCTAGGTGTCGCCAAGGCGATTAGGCGCTTTTCAAAGAACGCCTCGCCCAAATGCCAACTATGTTAGGCGCATGCTTATATAAATATTTATTAAATAAAAAATATATATAATATATAATATTTTATTGGTTGTTTTAGTTATTAAAATAGAACCTATTGCATGTTATCATGCTTTTGTATTGAGGAAAGTAAAAACAAAGCTAATCTTCGAGGGTTTCACATTGACAATAGAATCAAAGTATTGAACTGAGGAAGATGAGAGAACAACAGCCTCCATCGTTCCCACAGTCCTCTAAAGTCAAGGTGAGTTAATCCTTCTCCTTCCTGGTTCCTGGTTTAAAACAGTGGTTACGCCCCATTTTCTCCTCATCCTTTTTTGTATCTTTTCTCCAAGTTTTTTGAATCATTTTATTGGACTAAAACAGGGGCTTCGCCCCCTTCTTTTGTTCTTAAATTTCCTGCATGTTTTCAGCTTTTTTTTCTCATTATTGGTGTCTGAAACGGCTCCGCCCCTTCTTTTATTCTTCATATTCTTCTTTTATTTTAATATTTTTTCACTAGCTTTTCTGGGTCTAAAACAGGGGCTCCGCCCCCTTCTTTTTTCTTAAATTCTTCCATTTTTTCAGCTTTTGTTTGTTCTCATCATTGGTTTCTGAAACAGGGGCTCCGTCCCTTCTTTTCTTCTTTTATTTTAGTATTTTTTCACCAGATTTTCTGGGTCTAGAACAGGGGCTCCGCCCCCTACTTTTCTTTTTCATTTTCTTCTTTTATTTTAGTATTTGTTCCTCAGTTCTTTCAAGTTCCAAGCACAAAAGTAAGTGCAGAATACATAAATCCAAAAAAAAAAAAAAAAACTAGTTCAAAAGGGTAGAAATCCATCAGAAACCTTTAGTTTTAAATTCCATCGCCTAGGCGAGGGCTAGGCACCCACCTAGGTGCCTGGGCGCCCCATGGTCGCCTAGCCTTGCCTTGACGTCTTGAAAACTATGATAACAACATCCGTCAATGGGGAGTACTTGATGTGGAAGAGTCAAGAGACATGCACATAAGGGTTAGATTGTTGGGATGCACATGTGAGTATACAAGGAGAAAGTCTCACATTGGAAATAAATGAGAGAAGAAAGGGACTTATATATGAGGATTGACCCATAATTTAATGATTTAAGATTTTTCATTTATGGAAATGTAGTTTGTTCATTTTCATAACAATCTGATCCAAACAACATTAGTGGTTGTATAACTATCTTATAATTTTTCCTTTTAGTTTGCTTGGTTGTACCCATGACATTAACACTCCAAAAGCACCTCCACACTCTATCTAGCCTTCATAATTTGATGGATAACATTCTCTGCGATCCCTCCCTCACTATGGAACTGAAACAAGGTAAAAATTGTTGCTTTAATATATCTTTTGTTTACCATACCTAGTGGTTCCCTCCTTTCTGTTAGGCTATGTTTGGTTTGAAGGAAAAGGTAGGGAAAGGTAGAGAAACCTTTACAAACCATGTATAGGTTTTCCTACCTTTCCCTACTTTTTCCTTCAAACCAAACACAACTTTAGTGTTAGCTTTAAGTTTCTAGTGCACATATTTTTTGGGCCTACCTATTGCAAAGAGTAAAGGTGTCAGATCATGTACCACTCAACAGCCCATGGCCCACTTTTGTCTTATGAGAACATCTCACCCTCGTTTTGTTAGGGGTGAGCAAAAAAAAACCGAAAAACTGAACCGACCGAAATTAAACAAAAAAATCAGTTAACCGAACCGGTTGGTTCGGTTTCTGTTCGGTGCTTTTAAAAAACCAAAGGTACTGGTTCAGCTTCAGTTAACCAATATAGAAAACCGAACCAACTGGTATACATATATTTCTATATATTTTATATATAGTTATGTATATTATATTATATATATATTTATTTATTTATATTATAAATTAATAAATATGCATTATATATAAATATATATTTTTATAATATATATTGTAAAAATTAAAAAACTGAAAAACCGACCTGAATTGAAGGTTAACTGGTACTACTGATTCGGTTACAAAAAATGCCCACGGTTCAGTTACCGTGAACACCCCTATGTTTTGTGCTTTCCTCTCAGTCATTGATAGTATTGCCCTTCCCAAGAGTGCTATAGAAGCTTTATTAGTTCTTAAGTGGATAGATGCAATGAAAGAAGAGATAAATGCCTTACATTAAAATGGTATGTAGGAGTTGGTGGGTCTTCCTAAAGAAAAGGAACTAGTTGGATGCAAATGGGTGTTTCCTATGAAACACAAAGCATATGGTACAATAGAAAGGTATAAAGCCTAGTTGGTTGCAAAGGGGTTTACATAGGTGTATGGAGTAGACTATGTAGAGACTTTTGCTCTAGTAGCAAAGATGAACTCCATTAAGGTTCTACTTTCTTTGGCTACAAATCTGGATTGGGAATTTCATTAGTTAGATATTAAGAATGCTTTTTTAAATGGTGATTTGAAGGAAGAGGTGTACATGTCTAACCGCTTGGTCTTTGTGCTAAAGGCAATGAAAAGAAAGTGTGCAGATTGAAGAAACCTTTGCATGGCTTAAAACAGTCTCCAAGGGCTTGGTTTAGCAAATTCCACCCGACTATGTAGCAGATGGGATTTAGACAAATGCCAAACTGACCAAACCCTCTTTGTGAAGGAGCAAGGAGAATTGCTACTTTGATGGTCTATGTAGATGACATAGTCATCACTGGTGATTAGACATCAGAGATATAGAAATTAAAGTTCTTAGCCACATAGTTTGAAGTGAAGGATCTAGGTTGATTATGTTACTTTCTTGGAATTAAAAGTTGCTTGCTCACAAGAAGGGATCTTCATTTCCCAAAAGTACATCCTAGATCTCTTAAGGGATATGGAGAAGTTAGGGGCAAAACCAGCTAACACCCCTATGGATGTGAATCATAAGCTTTATGACTGTTAAGGGGAACCTATAAAAGATGTTAAATAGTACCAAAGGCTTGTAGGGAGTCTCTTATACTTATCTATGACTCGGCCTGACATGCCTATGTTGTGAGTGTTCTCAATTAGTTTATGCATGCACCGAAGGCCACTCACCTAGAGGCAACAGAGGGAGTGCTCAGATATCTAAAGCAATTCCCAAGAACCTCTTTAAGAAGCATGGGCATATGAAAGTTGAAGTCTAAATAGATGTTGACTGGGCTGATTCAATGGATGACAGAAAATCCACTAGTGGCTATTGTACCTTTGTGGGAGATCTTGTTACTTGGCGAAGTAAGAAACAAAGTGTTGGGCATAGGTATCAATCATCCCCAACTTGTCACGAAGCTCATTATGTTGTGAATGATAAAATCCTTTGTAAGAACATATACAAGTGGACAAAATGTAAATCCCAATTCACATAATAAGTTCTTAATCCATAGAACTACAACACTATGGGATTTACAGTTCTTAATCCTGTCCTCCTTGAAAAAAAAAAGCACATTAAAGTGAACAAATATCATAGAGAAATTAGAGAGGAGGAGGTGCACACTCCCTACGTCTGCTCCAAAAACTAACTCATAGATGTTCTTACAAAGGGTCTGTTGCGAATCTTATTTATTGGTTCTATGTTAGTATGCTGTTAGTATGTTGTCAGCCTAGTCTATGTAGGTGCTGACAGCTAGCTTTCTTTTTTCCTTGTTAGTTGTTTGTTATTAGGACTGCCAGGGGCATTCTTGTAACTTCAGTTCTTATTACATTAAGCGAATATAAATAAGAAGCTGGGAACGACCAGCCCAGAGTTTTTGAGTCTCAGTCGACTCTCTTCTCTTCTCCTCTACGTTCTCTTCTCCTCTTTCTTCTCTTCTCTCTCTCTCTCGTCTCTCTCAGGAAGGAACACAGGGTCTAGGGGGTGAGAAAACAGTTTATTCGGTTAAAAACCAAACCGAATAAACCAAAATTTTAAATGGAAAACCGAAACTGAAATATTGAAAAACCAAAAATAACCGAAACTGGATTTTTTGGTTCGGTTTTCGGTTAAAACTGAATTTCATATATTATAGATATTGTATATGTATTATATATTAATATATATATATTATAAAATATATATAATAAATTATATATTTCAATATATAATGTAATACAATATAATATATATTATGCATATTATATATGTATTATATGTTAATATATATTAAATAGATAATAATGTTCGGTTAGTCCAGTTTTTTTGGTTAACCAAATTCCCAAACCTGAAAACCGAAATTTTATAAAACCAAAAAACTGAACCGAAATAACCAAAGACCTAGTTTCGGTTTCGATTCTTCGGTTTTAACCGGATAATGCTCACTCCTAAAAGGGTCTTCATCATTCGTGGCATAATGAGCTTTGTGACAAGTTGGGGATGATTGATATCTATGCCTCAACTTGAGGGGGAATGATGCAATTCTCGGTAGGGCTGTTCACAATTTTTTTCAAACCGACCAAACTGGACGAACTCGACCCGAGATGGTCAGTTTTAAAAAATAACTGGTCAGTTTCGGTTCAATAAATATTAAATCCCAATGGTAATTATCAAAAAAATATATATTAAATCCCAATGGTTTGGTTTGGTTGTGGGTTATGTGTATATAAACCTGCAACCGAACCGACATATGAACATTAATGAGAACTGATGTGACTATGAGTCTGTCACACTTTGACCCCTCTAAAATTACCTGACCTCAGCTATTATAATCATTAAATAGGCTAGTTTGTCAGGCGACATGTGTCATCATTAAATACTCTCAGACTATCAATCGTACCTTTTTCAAGACTTCAGCTGTTATAATTAAGTTAAGCCTCTTGCCCTCTCTCTCTCTCCACACAAAAGCCAAAATATGTCATCCCTTTCTTTCTTCACAGAAAACCCAAAAAGATGATGGGACATATCAAATATTAAATGTTGAGATGTGTGAAAATTCAAAGGCAATGTATTAGTCGATTAACCAATTAAACCAACTGAATTGTAAATAAAATTTTTAATTGGTTTTCTTTCTTTTGTGGTCTGTTTTGTTTGGCCTATTGGTCAATACGAGAGTATCAGTTTGGTTGATATAAACAAGTAAAACTGAACCGGTCCAGCCTGTGAACAGCCCTAATTCTCGGATTATGTGCCATAGGGGCACTTAGTCTTTTTATTTCTTTTTTAATTGCCGCCCTACATATAAATAATATAGTTGGCGCCACCAGCCTAATCTTTGGCCTCTCTCAATCTTTTATCTCTTCTTCCTTTCTCTTCTCCTCTCCTCTCTCTTTCTCCTCTTTTTCTTTTAATTTTTCCTTGCCACAACAAGAAGCCCAAAACAATTGACCACTGTTCACCCCTTGTTTAGCCAAGAAACCAGCCATGTTATTGGCTAATCTTTGCTCCCACTGTACTTTAACTCCTATGTTCAAATCCGGCCATTTAATTTCTTTAAGCTCCTGTCTACAAGTCCAAAAAATTGTTGGTACTAATTTATCTATTTTTACTTATTAATATGCATTTTTTCCATTACATTCTTTTGCAAGCATGTATATGTCTGTAAGGTTTTAAATTCAAAACTTTGATTGTGGCATTTTTTATTCTATATTATTCTAACACATGTTGTGATGTCTCAGATCGACTTTTGACAATCTTGGCTTGTTGAAGGATGGCCTTTCTGGAGCCCTTGTAACTGCACTTGTTTTGGGTGTGCATGAACTTGGCCACTTTTTAGTTGCTAGAAGCACTGGAATTAAGCTTGGGGTGCCATATTTTGTTCCTAGTTGGCAGGTGAGATATTGTTGTCTAGCACTAATTGGTTCATTAATGTACACATTACATTAATGAACATGCATTTCAAAGAAAATGTGAGTTGAGAGGTTTGAACCCTAGTCAATTACTTTAAAAATTAAAGAAATAACCATCTATCCACCTCATTCAAGTGTAACATTACTTTTATAGTATATGTATATGTATATGCCATGTCATCATGGTTTGACCTCCAGTTTGACTGCAGTTGAACCTCTGACCCATGGACTTCTCCCCTTTCTGGTTCTCTGTCTGGTCCGTTTCTAAACATTGCTTTTCTTTTTTCAACCCTTTCTTTATAATAGCTCATCTCTTTACATTATTCCTTGTGCTTGGAAAAAACACAAGGAATTCCAATGAGATAACTAGTGGACTTTGGCTTCTGTTTGGCACAACCATTGCATATGGAGTATCTGATGAGGTGTTTTTCTGGCAGATAGGCTCTTTTGGTGCCATCACAAGGATAGTAAATATTGTGCCTAAGCGTGAGGATCTTCTGAAGCTTGCAGCAGCTGGACCTTTGGCTGGTTTCTCTGTAGGGTTTGTCTTTCTGCTCCTTGGGTTCATCTTACCACCTACTGATGGTATTGGTATTGTTGTAGATTCGTCTGTTTTCCATGAATCACTTCTTGTTGGGGGTATTGGTAAGTGCTTGCTCTATTTTCACTTAAAGTTTAATGGTAGCACATGTGATTCTTTGTATGTGCTTGTGTGTATGCATGTTCTCAAAAAGTTCTTTTTTTGCATAGTTTTCAGTTGTCTCTTGTGGAAGTTTTGGTTCTCAAATGCTTTTTGTTGCATTTTTTTATTGGTTAGTAAGAGCAAAGAGATTTTATATTAATAAACTGTGGATATGTAACTTAGTACATTCTAAAGGCATAAAACAAATGATGAAGTATGGTGTTTACTGCTGCAACCCCTGGCCTGGAGCCAGTGTTGCATGGGCATGGGAGTCGAAGTCCAACATGTGTCCAAGAGCCTGACTCAGCAAGATGAAGAAACATGGACTTGTAGACATGTCTATGAAAAGTATGTACTATTAAAATAGTTTATACTTTTTAAATTCTAATATTATATACCTGCAAAAAGGGGTCTAGAATTGTTACCAAGTAATGTTTTGTATGAAAAATGGCATTCGTGTTGTACATTATCTGTTCATTATGTCAAATAGCAATGAGATAAAAAGAAAATTTCATATAGAAGCGTCCTCAATAATCTGTGGTATGTTTGACTGTGCTGCGTGTCTGACATGGACATGTTGTCCATTTAGGGGAGTCCATGCAACACTGCTTGGAACTTCCTAACCAGGGCCTCTAAAGTCACATTTCCCTTGCAGCTCCATATATTGATATAAATATAGATGTCTTCAAGAACAGATTCTTACTAAATTTTTTTCATTTCAGCAAAGCTTCTTCTTGGAGATGTTCTGAAAGAAGGTACACCAATATCTGTCAACCCACTTGTAGTTTGGGCATGGGCTGGACTTCTTATTAATGCCATCAATAGTATCCCTGCGGGCGAGCTTGATGGGGGTCGTGTCTCTTTTGCACTATGGGGAAGAAAGGTATTCTACTTAAAATGCAAAATAGAGTAAGGAAAATATAAGACCCATGCTATGATGTGAACGTAAGTAGAGTCAATAAGTGAATAAATATGTAAATGGAACATAGTAGCCATGGATTGTTATCCCAGAAAGAGATCTACAAATGTATAACCATCTGATCAGTTCAATATTTAGCCTAGGAAATACCAGTCATTGAATGTGAGGGTTCCGCATCTGTGATCTTAGTAGAATGTATTGGCAGTCTACCACAAGGATCTCCAGACTCCATATTACCTTACAGCATACACATGCATGCACATTTAGGAGGTGTCCGCTAATGTGAATGGTTTTGTTTTCTAAAACAAAACAACTGGCAGTTAGCAAAAACAACACACTTTTGCTGATGTGGAAGTTGTTTTTGCTTTAGAAAACAAAATCACATACGTTGGAAAATACCACCTAAGGTAACAAACCTAGTTGTTTGGCCGGTTATGCAATTGTCAAGTGTTTTATGCTTCATACTTCCAGATTTAATCCTTACCTATCAAAGTGAAGGAACAAGCAAAAATAGACTAATTTTCACTAATTTTCTGTTTTTGGCAGGTTTCTGCTCGTATAACTGCTGTCTCCATTGCTTTGCTTGGACTTGCTTCATTGTTTAATGACGTGGCTTTCTATTGGGTCGTTCTGATATTCTTCTTGCAGAGAGGTCCAATTGCTCCATCGTCAGAGGAGATTACCGATCCTGACAACAAGTATGTTGCTCTCGGCATTGCAGTTTTGCTTTTGGGGTTGCTGATATGCTTTCCATACCCATTCCCTTTTACTAGTGAAGATATTGCAAGCTTCTAATACATGGTCCACATGTATGCCATTTACGGCTTTCCCGTAGATATTGGAGGGTGCGATTTCCGGGAAGTATTCAGGACAATAGTTCGGAGTCTTCGGACTCCTTCATGAGTTTATAACACGTGAAAATGTATAGAAAGTTGGCCATTTGTTTTGTTTATTCTGCTCTCTAGCAAGCGCAACAAAATTTTGGTGGAAATGTTGGCTCCCATGCATCAAATCAAACTGATATAAATTTGTTAAGCATATTAAAGCCTATTTGGATAGCTGATTCAATTGGTATAATTCATGATGGATAGGCTGGTGAGGCACATTAATGTTAATGTGTTATGTTCTCAGGCTGATTCAGTAAGACATCACTCTTTGAAGTTTAGTTCATTATTATGCAGCCCAGTGAGAAGTTCTGGTTGTTCAAACCACCACCTGGCCTCAAAACTGAATCGGGGTTGATATGCTGTCCAACATAGAGGTCACTGGTCAATCTTTAAGACTTTAACTATTATTATGAAACTCAACTTCAAGGTGTTGGTCTGCTCAACCAGAAATTCTGGGTTAAGTCCCCAGTTGAATCATTCTGCACATTTAACACTACACCCTACTCTGAAAAGGGGAGAGAGGAGGGGACTTTGAACACTGTTTTTTAATTTAGTGTCAGAGGCTTTTCTTTTTGCAGAATACATCTTTACTTGTTTTTCCAGGAAGCTTTATATTTTTATTCATGCTGACCAGACGATTGGCCCAAATGGTCAGACAATTTGATCCATGAGACCATGACCTGCCAGAACTAATGGATGGACATTTATTTAGTTCAGGTCTTCAGTCTTCTAACGCTGTTGCTTGGTCAAAAATCCTGTATTTCTTTCATAGAACTTGTATGGATCCTGTTTAGTATCTGATTAAATGGTTTTTTTTTTCAAAGAATGTTCAAGAGAAAATGGAGAATGCATATACGAACATATCAATTTTCAAAAGAAAATACCCTCTTTTTTATAGGTAGATTAGACCTCTTTGATCAATCTTTTTGTTTTTGTTTGTATGCTGGAGAAATAACCAATAATTTTATTATGATTTATATTTTGGTTAACAGTGTGGAGAATTGGTCTTTCTTATGCATTTGCATCATGCAATTATGTTCTTATCTGAACCATTCACCATTTTTTTTTAACTTTATTGCTCGACTTACTCAGCCTCCCAACCTTGGGTTGTTGGACAAGGACAGCGTCTTCTGCGCATCTTCCCATTTCACCATTTGTTTTTGCCTTCTTGGACTCAGCTGCCAAATATTTTATCCATCTGATCATGGATTAGCTGGTCACAATCAGTTTCAGTTTGTTTATTATGGGCACGATACGTATTGACTAATTGTATCGGTGATCCACCGATACACGAAATATAAAGAGTTTCAGGGTAAGACCTGTTTCAGGGGTAACCAGGCCATTAACCAACCCCCTGAATATATTTTGAAAAAAAAAAAAAAGTATTGATACAAAGTCTGATACACCCAATTTGGCGTATCGGACTGTACTGATACTTTGAACCTTCCTCCTAGGTAACTTAATGGAGGGACAATCTGCTTTCTTCTTTGAAGAACAACATTGAACCATTGATTGTTGGTATTGAATAGAAGATTCAAGCTGAATTACTCGTATTAATAAAAGACAGACTTACAGCTTAAATAGAAATATTCTAAACAGCATAATGTTTACTAACAACATATGCAGATTTTTAGGAATAGAATCAAAACAAAGTGGTGAACATTCTCAACCACAACTCCTACAAACTAGGACACTTGACTTGGTCTTTGATTTACCATGTCAATAAAACTCAACTCTTAACACTCTCTTTTAAACTGATTTCTGCTGAAAACAGTTTAGGATTCTATTGCCACATGGTCTTTTTCTTTTTCTTGATTAATGCTTCGAATAGAACAAACTCCAAGCATGTTCCTCAAACTCTGGTTGTTTCAATGGCTTAGTCAAAATATCTGCAACTTGTTCTCCACTCTTACAATATTGCAGCTCAATCTTTTCATCTTTGCAAAGATCTCTTAGAAAATGAAAACGAACATCAATATGTTTACTTCTCTCGTGCATGATTGGATTTCTTGATAGCTTGATAGTTGACATGTTATCACAATAAATGATTGTTGGACCCTTTTGCTCATCACCAAGTACTTAAAACATTCTTCTAAGCCACAAAGCTTGACATGAGCTTGAGGCTGCTGTTACAAACTCGGCTTCAGTTGTGGAAAGTGTCACTATATCTTGTTTTTTTGAGGACCATAATATCGCACCAGAATTAAGCATGAATGCATGACCAGAAGTGCTCTCGCGATCGTCTACATCACCTGCATAATCACTATCTGTATAGCCAACAAGATCAGTACTATTTTTTCTTTTGTAAAACATACCACAATCAATTGTATCTGTCACATATCTAAGGATTCTTCTAACTGCATTTAGATGCATCTCAGATGGCTTCTCCATGTATCTACTAATCAAACTTACTGCATACATGATGTCAGGTCTCGTGGAGGTTAAGTACATGAGACTACCAACGATTTGCTTGAAATAAGTGTTGTCAACCTCTTTGTCACCATTATCTTTGCGCAACTTTAAACCAGGTTCAATTGGTGTTCCAACTGGCTTGCAATCAGCCATTTTGAATTTTGCAATAAGTTCTTGAGCATGCTTCTTCTGGTAAATGAAATTACTAGCAGTAGTTTGAATGACTTCCAATCCCAAAAAGTAACGCATTAATCCCAAATCAGTCATTTCAAACTCCTTTATCATAGATACTTTAAGCATATCAAACATCTTGATATTATTACCAGTAAATATCAAGTCATCAACATATAAACACACAATGAGTATATTACCTCCTTCTTCAGTCTTGACATAAAGAGTGTGCTCAAAAGGACATTTTTGAAATCCCAACTTGATAAAATGAGCATCTATGTGACTGTACTAAGTTCGCGATGCTTGTTTCAGTCCATAGAGTGCTTTCTTTAATCTGTAAACCTTCTTTTCCTTTCTTTTCTTCTCATAACCAGGTGGCTGGTCAATGAACACCTCTTCTTGCAAATTGCCATGCAAGAAAGCCGACTTTACATCTAATTGAAAAATAGGCCAAGAGTTTTGAGCCACTAGTGAAATCACCAACCTAATTGTATCTTGTCTAGCAACTGGAGCAAGAACTTCCTTGTAATCAATTTCATGCTTCTGCTTGTAACCTTTTGCTACTAGCCGGGCTTTATGCTTGTTGATTTCACCTTTTTCATTCAACTTTGTCTTGTAAACCCATTTGACACTAATGGTATTTTGTCCTTTAGGCAGATCAGTTAGCTCCCAAGTGTGATTTTTCTCAATAGACTCGATTTCTTTGTCCATTGCTCCCCTCCATTTCTTGTCTTTTACAGCCTTGTCATATGTGATTGGATCGCTATCTACAAACAATGCAAAATGAGCATTATCATCAGTAGAACTTGAATAACTTACATCGTAATCCATCATCTATGTTTGTCTCCTTGTGTTTTCATCCCTTAAGTTATAACCCCTTTCTTCTTCTAATTGTTGATGAGTTTGAGCCACAGGTTGAAATGATTGTTGCTCTTGGATTTCAAACTGAGATGATGATTGCTCTTGGATTTCAGGAACTTCTATCTCATCATCTAAGACAACATCATCAAGTATTGGATTTGAAATTGAATTGCCGTCAGTCCAATTCCATTTGGAATCTTCATAAAAAATTACATCTCTGCTTATTACCACCTTCTTTGTCATGGGATTAAATAATTGTAAGCTTTTGAAGATTCACTTACCCCAAGAAACACACATTTTTCACTCTTGTCRTCAAGCTTTTTCCTTCTTTCATCAGGTATATGTGCATATGCAATGCATCCAAATACTCTTAAGTGCTCAACTGAAGGCTTCTTTCTACACCACGCCTCTTGAGGTGTCATGTTCTTCACTGCAAAGGTCTGACTTCTATTTAGAACATGAATTGACCATAACACTGCTTCAAGCCATAACTGC